AAAAAAAAAATCAGACAAATATTAAAAAAAAAGGTGTGCTCCCAACACCTCTGTGTTGGTAATAACCAAAACCAGCGCAAAGAGCCCACGTCTATCCAATCATATTTAAGAATGGAAGTACGTGGGGCCCAGGAGACTGAGCAACGGCTGTGAATTTACCGTCACCGCTAGCTCACCGTCACCGGGTTTTGGCCCTGAGCTGGAAATCAGCTGTGGATGTGCGCCGCCTAATTTCCTCCACTACACGACAAAAAAATCCCAAAGCCAAAAGCCCCAAAAACTCAACCTTTCCCGTACTCTGGCGCGCCATGTCTCATTCAAATCAATTAATCAAACACCGACCTCCCTCCCCCCACTCCCTCCGACGCCGTTTCGCTCTCCCCTCTCTCCTCCTAACCCATCCAATGTCAATCCCGCAATTCTCCCCATTCCCCAAGGGCACTCTTGTAACGCGTCATCAACTGTTATTTTAACCGCAAGCAAAATATTTTTTCTATTTTTGATTTCCTGAATATTCCCTGCTTACAAAAAACCATTGTAGTTATCTCCGAAAATGGAGCTGTGGAGTGTCGTCTGAGGTTGCTGATTTCCCTTTTTTCTCTGTAAATTTCCATTTTCTTTTGCCTTCGCGTTCTCTGTGAGTTGTCCTATTCCTTTTCCGGGGGGCCTGTTTTGGTTTTCTTTTCTCCCTGTTGATGTGAATGCAGGAGTCAAAACAGAGACAAAGTGGTACCTGTTGCTGTTTCATCTCTGCCTGCCAAACTGTTCTTCCATGTGCTTTTTCTTCTTCTTCGCGTCGGAAAACAGTGTTGTGTTTGTTTCTTTGTTTTGGCACATTTTGTGGAGCTAGATTGTAATAATTTTAAACGCATGCGTGGTGAACAAATCGCTGCGTCTGTTATTTTAGATTCAGTTACGTTCTCAATCTGGCGTCCGCATGATCTTGGTTATTTTCTCGTGTTTTCTAGGGAACCAAACATGGATTTTTACTCTCTCTCTTTTTTTTTTGTTTTCGTGTATTTTGTTTTGCTTTTCTACCGTTTTTGTCAGGACTGAAACTCGTTTCTTTATTAAGCTTGCGAAGGGGAGTTCAAATTAAAAGCCACAGTGAGATTTGCACAGTCAAATCCATCAACAAGAAACCTTTGATTTGATTGCCGTTGTTTGGACGCAGAGAAAAGAAAATCAACGACTTCGTTTTTTAGCTCTTGTATATTCGATCCAAAAGTCACACAGCTCATTTTCATCTTGGTATGTAGCTGTTATTTTTACTGCTTGACTTGCTAGCTGTGGTAAAGGTGTCGAGGTTGGGTGGCTGTCGTTTGGAGTTTCCTATTTCGTGTCAAACACTGTTTTGATTTTCAGTCTCTCTGGAATTTGAGAAAGTTGATTCAGATTTGTTGTGTTTTTCGCCGAAAGTGTGTCTAGATCTTCAATTTTTTCATTTTTTTGGCCATTAGTTGTGGAATATTTTCGTAAGATTTCCCCAGAAAGTGAGAGAAAGTGGGCATCTGGGTGAGGGGTTCATGTGAATTAGTGAAAAGGGTCTTTGTCACTGAAGTAGGCGATTCTATGCAGATTGAAGTGGAATAGTTATTGGTGTCGGTAGTGGGAGGTCTTTGAATCGAACAAGTTTGGCAGGTTAATAATGCAATTGTTTTTGTTCTGTTTTCAGCTACTTCTGAGCTTATCTTTGGGTTGTTATTCGAATGGGTTCTGGGAATTGGATCTGTTAACGCGAGGAAGCTTCCTAGGAGATAAGGATATAGTTGGGTGAAATGAGTCGAGAACAGAAGCGAGGGAAGCAGGAGAAAGGCAGCAAGGATGGTGTGGAGCAGGTAGTGGTTGCAGTTAAGGCATCAAAGGAAATTCCCAAGACTGCTTTGGTGTGGGCTTTGACTCATGTTGTTCAACCTGGATGTTGCATTACATTGCTTGTTGTCGTCCCCTCACATGGTTCGAGCACTCTTGTCTTGTCTCTATTTCATTTCTGTGCTTGTGATGAGTTACTTCACTCTCATTACTCATTACATTAAGCCCCATAGTTCTAGTAGTTCGGTATTGTTTTCATTTCCTATTCCTATATTCTTCTGGTGGAAGCAGATTGGTGACTTCATGTGGGAAATTGCCTATATATTTTCCATTTATTTTTTGGGTCGTTGGTTAGTCTGGATGTGCCTGTCTAGCTCATTATTTGAATTCATGCAAGGCATGTGAACTCTGCACTCATCATGATGAACTTTATGACACATAGTGTTTAGGAGGTGAACTCTGGCTTTACTGTTTTTATTGATTGTCTTCCAGATCTTTCTTGCAGTCGACTTAGAAGACCACTTGGTTTTAAACACTACGGGTTTCATGGTTATGTTGTGTTAATTTGAGAAATGGAGGCATGCCAATTGCATGATTAAAAATTATTGCCATGTTTGTAACATGCCCCAATTATTGTGTGTTCAGGCAGAAAATTATGGGTGTTTCCAAGATTTGCTGGGGACTGTGCCAGTGGTCACCGAAAGTCTTATTCAGGATCAAGTTCAGAGCAGAAGTCTGATATTACAGATTCATGCTCCCAAATGATCCTTCAGCTGCATGAGGTTTACGATCCAAATAAGGTAGATGGCTGTCTGTATTACTTAAATCATGTTTTATGTTACATATATTTGTAAGTATGCCGATGCTGATGCTATCTTCCTTTTCCAACTTGATTTCACAGATAAATGTCAAGATAAAAATTGTCTCTGGATCACCATGTGGGTCGGTAGCAGCGGAGGCCAAGCGTGCCCAAGCTAGTTGGGTTGTATTAGACAAGTAATGTCCATTTTCTCCATGTGTCCTTATATGTATCTTTTTTTACCTTTCATTTTCTTGTTCTATCCAGAAATAAATGCAAAATCATATGTGTGGCAGGATTTCGCTTAAGGTCTTTCAAAGTGCTGTCTTCTTACACTTGATTGAGTACTTAAGTCACACGTTTAACTTAGCTTCTTCATTGTCTCCTATTTTTTTTCCTCAGGAAGCTTAAGCATGAGGAAAAATGCTGCATGGAGGAGCTGCAATGCAATATAGTGGTTATGAAACATTCCCAAGCAAAAGTTCTGCGCCTAAATTTGATTGGATCTCCTAAGAAGGTAGCTGAAGCTGCCTGTGAACCAAATTCTGTGGGGGATGAGGCATCAAAAAAGGATGTAAAACAAAAAAAAGGATCAGATTCCATAAGAGGTCCTGTTGTGACTCCAACTAGTAGTCCAGAGCTAGGGACACCATTTACTGCTACTGAAGGAGGAAATTCTTCAGTCTCAAGCTCAGATCCTGGAACTTCACCTTTTCTCATCTCAGAAGTGAATGGAGACACAAAGAGAGAGGAACCATCAGTCATTAAGGAAAACCAGAATCTTGAAGAAACTAGTTCTGAAACAGAGAGTGAGAATTTATCTTTAACTTCAGCAAGTTTGAGGTTCCAACCATGGATAGCAGAATATCTTACTTCTCATCATCAATCCCCACTTAACATTGAAGAGAGTTCCGGCAGACATGGTGATAAGGCTCTAGTGTCAACAACAAGAGTTTTACTTGAGAAGTTCTCAAAATTTGATAGAGAAGCTGGAATTGGAATGTCAAGCAGGTCTGATCTGGAATTTAGTGGAAATGTGAGAGAGGCAATTTCACTATCCAGCAATGCTCCTCTTGGCCCTCCACCATTGTGTTCAATATGCCAACATAAGGCACCTGTATTTGGAAAACCTCCCAGGTGGTTCAGCTATGCAGAGTTGGAACTTGCTACTGGTGGATTTTCACAAGCTAATTTCTTGGCCGAGGGTGGGTTTGGATCTGTGCACAGGGGAGTGCTACCAGATGGCCAGGCAATTGCTGTCAAGCAACACAAATTAGCTAGTTCACAGGGAGATCTTGAGTTTTGCTCTGAAGTAGAAGTTTTGAGTTGTGCTCAGCACAGAAATGTTGTTATGCTGATTGGATTCTGTATTGAGGACAGAAGGCGGCTGCTGGTTTATGAGTATATATGCAATGGTTCCTTAGATTCTCACCTATATGGTATTTACTTCAATTTTTTATCCATCTCTCGATATGTGATGCTAAACTGTTACAACTGCACAGTCTGCACTCATCATTCAATGACTCTTTGAAGATCTTGCTGTCTATAGATGCCTTTTCCCCTTAATTATTTGGCTTCTGTAATTAAACATCCAAAACTCCAGACATCGTATCATGTGAAACAGTTTCTTAGAATGGTTATATCCCCTGCCCTTCTCCCCCAAGAAATCTCATTACTCTTAAAGGAGTTTTTTAGGCTGTAATATTAGGTTTAGCATAATATTTGTAATTTTATTAATTAATATATTGGTATAGAATTTGCTTATTTCTAGTTATAGCTACTTTTAGTTGTTAATATTCCATTAATGTGGATGTTTAGGGCATCATCAGGAACCCTTAGAATGGTCTGCGCGACAAAAAATTGCTGTAGGAGCTGCTAGAGGCCTGAGATATCTTCATGAAGAATGCAGAGTTGGCTGTATTGTACACCGTGACATGCGACCGAACAACATCCTCCTCACCCATGATTTTGAACCTTTGGTATGATTACTTTCAAATCCTAATTTATGATTGCAGAATTTTCATTAGAAGTTGGATGGTTGTTGTTCATCATAGCCTTATTAGCATTGTGTTTCCCAGTAATGTATTTTTTGAAGTCCCATTTGCTTCTGTATCCTAGCCATGTGTTGCTCATCCTGTCCATGAGTTGGCTTGAATTTTTTAACTTGAAATAATTTTCTATTTCCTTCTGTCTCCGTACATCAAATTACAATATTTGCCAGTTTGTAGGTATATAGCCCTATTAATTCATCCCCTTTTTTTTTTTTTAGGTTGGAGATTTTGGCCTGGCAAGATGGCAGCCTGATGGTGATACTGGTGTGGATACAAGAGTAATTGGAACATTTGGGTAAGATCTTAAATGGCAGCCTTTTCTCGTTACTGTTACCTAATATATGCAGTTCCTGATTCCAATAATGGATTTGTTGTGGTATAGGTATTTGGCACCAGAATATGCCCAAAGTGGACAAATCACAGAAAAAGCTGATGTCTATTCCTTTGGAGTGGTGTTGGTTGAGCTTGTAACTGGACGAAAAGCAGTTGATCTCAACAGGCCGAAGGGCCAGCAATGTTTAACTGAATGGGTATGCTTCATGAAATTTTCTTGTGTATGCTCTAGTTACTAGCATTCAATTCATCTATGTGAATTTCTGTTGAGAGTCATGTATAAAATATGTTGAATTGTTCAGATAGATGACTTCTTCCAAGTCAAATAAATAGGCAAAAAAGGTGGTTTCTTTTTTATTCCTTCTAGACTTCTAGTTGCGGTTTCTTTGTTGATTCTTACATTTCTTCTGTTCCGATGTCGAGCAGGCTCGTCCCCTTTTGGAAGAATATGCCATAGATGAATTGATGGATCCAAGGTTAGGGGGTTGCTATTCAGAACAGGAGGTCTATTGTGTGCTTCATGCAGCATCATTATGCATTCGGAGGGATCCACATTCTAGGCCTCGCATGTCACAGGTAAATGATAAACTTTTAATAGAGAATAATCAAATGGGTTTAGAAAACTTGTTTGATTCTCATGGTATGGTTTACTGCACCAGCATCACTGTATGCTTTCACATTTTTCAATCTACAGATGTTGGAATCAGTTTGGGTCAAGTTTTTGAATTCTAAACTAATCTATCTCTTGTTCTTGAGTTGTAACTCAAAGCTGGACTTCCTATCTCAGATTTGAAAATCTTCCATCAATAATTTCCCAATGAAGTATAGGCCTTGTTTTCAATTACTTATTCAATTGTCTCTTTTATAGGTGCTACGAATATTGGAAGGTGACATGATTGTAGACACAAATTACACGTCAACCCCGGGATGTGATGTTGGAAGCTGCAGTAACCGGATGTGGGCATCACAACAGCAGCAGCAGCAGCAACAACAACATTATAGTGGACCTTTGTTGAACGAGGCAATGGAAGGGTTTAGTGGAAAACTCTCTCTGGACACGCTAAGGTCAGTGTTTTGGGAAAGGGACAAGGCCAGGAGGTCTTCATGTGCGAATGATTTGTAAAGAAGCACACTTAAGTAACTACCTAGCACACCCACAGTATGCCAGCAGCCAGCTACGTATTTTGGTACTCCCTTTTTGAAGTTTTCTTTTGTTAATTTACCAATGCCATCCCCACCCTCGATATTTGCTTCTTTGTATAGAGTAGTAGTAACTGGAAAGGCGAGAGGGATTCTAGGGTTTTGTAATTCTTTCAGAAATGACCATAATTCAAAGCTATGGTGAATATAGTTCCCTCTATCCTATGTCAATGTGAGGAGCAATTTTTTTTTTTGCAGATGGTGACAGTACAATCCTTTTTAATCTTTTGATTGATAGAGCAGGCAAATATGTATGGCAATTTTCATTGGGAGGGCAATGACTTTGCATCTTGATTTTGGCAACAGATAGGGATAAGAGAGATCTGAGATTTGTCTCACCTCAAGAAGACAAAAAGTGGGCAGAAAATTTACAGTAGGCAGCAGTGAAATCTGAGATATCATTATTCCCAGCTGTAATTTATCTAAATTGTCAAGCCTTTTTCCCACTGAAAAACACTCTTTAACGGGATTAGTTAAATGTTTTCTCATGATAGCCTGTATGGAGTGATTCAGAAGAAAGGTTAAAAGCAATGGTGAATATTAAATGTGGGTAAAAGTGGGTTAGGAGTTTAGATGGGGTTTGGCAAGTTTGAAGCTGAAGACAATTCATTGCTTATTCAAGTTTAAGAGGGAAAAAATTGGCTGTACAGTTGTCTCGATACTGCTCCCTTCCCTGGCACTAGATCGCAAACATCCAACGTGGGTCCTGAAAGTGAAATCTCTCTTAAGAGAGCTGTGAAGGAAGGAAGGAACTGGCGGTGAGATGGTAATAATTGTGTTTTGTTATTAAGCAATAGATGGAGTTTGCTATTCCATTTATTTATGTGCACTCATAAAATGAATTTATAATTTTATAATTTAAATTGTATTAAATTACAAAATTCATAAGATTAATTTATAATTTTATAATTTAAACTGTATTAAATTTCAAAATTCATCTAATGATCAGAGTACTGCACAAACGAAATTTCAAGCCATCATTGCATTGCATGAATGTAATTCTTAATTCAGACAAGCTTTCTTGGCTGTTCCAACCCCCTTCTGAGTAAAGAGTCACTTTTCACCTGTGAAGAGCTTGGCCACTTGGCTTTGTGTGGGCTCTTCAATCGCTACTGTTAAAAGTATATTAAAAATATATATATACTAGTATAAATTGAAATTAATGGGAAGCAAGTCGTGAAGTAGTATCTCACATCAAAAAAGAGAGGAGAAAAGGCACTCAAATCATTTTCTGCTTGGTATGTAAAGGTGAAGCCTTCGATCTCAAGAAGTTTCCGCATCCCCTTTTTTTCATTATCATAGCACCATGTGCCTTCATCCTTGTTAAAAAGAGCAGTGTCTAAGAAAATGGTAACAACCACATCATGATCAGAACGTGTTTTGTGTTGGATGATGAAAGAGAAAGATAAGAAGGCAGGGTTCGGTTTAGAAAAGTGTTCACTCTCTGAGAAGGGTGAGGAAGGATTAAGTAAGGAAAAGCTATTTACAGTTATACAGCTCATTATTTGATGTAAAAAAAAAAAAAAAACCCATATGATAATTTGGGGGAGGGAAATGGCATTTGAAGTTGGAAACCTCACTTTTCCAGTTGGGATAAATGCCCACTGCCATTATCACAGACTCACAATTCTAAGAACAAAAGAGAGGACCAAATGGGAGCTGGCAGAGGGAATGAGATGAGAGTCATAGCAATGGATTCCTTCTCTTCTCATCCACCATTCAAAACTTCAACACATCTACCCGATAACTACCAATCTCATTTATTTCGGGATCAGTGAAAATGAAAATAACAAAACCTCTTAATTGGAGAGAAAAAAAATTAAAAAAAAAAAAACACTAAACAAACAGACATACAAAAAAAAAAATTTTTTTTTTAGGAGGAAGAAGCAGAAGGTCCAGGACTAACGCCGCTCATCAATCCAGCGGCTTCTTCATCCAAAAGCAAATCGTCCGTCCTCCTAAACGCCGCGTGCACCAAAACCACCGCCGCACCAATCAACAGCGACACCAAAATATTCAGAGTAGCGTGAGTCAGAAGCAGAAACACAATCGTCAGAATCGATAGCACAATCAATACCACTCGGTCGTCGATCGTACGGCTGAAAACCACCAGCGGCTCGTCGCGGAGGAAGTAGAGGAACAGCCACGCCGCCATCATGACCAAGAACACAATCAGCGAAATCGGATGCCACAACAGGCTCAAAAACAGTATAATCAGTACAATTATCGAGTAGTTCATGCGAAAGTAAGCGAGATTCGTTCTGATTCTAGTCACCGCGTCGGGGAAATTGCCGGGGAGGTTGATTGAGCGGAGGTTGAACAAGAGCTTCCATGGTCGCCGAGTACCGAGTCCCTCCTTTATCCGTTCCTTGGTGCGGGATAGGTACTCGAGTTTGGTGGAAGGTCCGGAAGGTGAGGAAGATGTCGGAATTGTGCCGTATGTGGTCATTTTTTCCGGCGAGGTTTTGGCGGTGGTCTGCTTCTGTTGTTTGACCTCTGGATAATTTTTTGATTTGAGGCGGAGAAAGGGGAAATAACACGATGAGGAAGGGTGTGCAAAAGGGTATACTTAATTGGCAGGAGAATAATAAAGTATTGGAGTATTGATTGGGCAGGACAATTTAATATTACCATTTTCTCTATTTAAAATAATTGTTGTTTATTTTAAATTTATTTTAAATAAATTATGTTATTTATTTATTTTTTTGATTACTTATTTTATTATAAA